GCTAGTGTTTGGGACCTTCCTGCTTCTGATCAAGCCCATCCATTGCAAGAGAAATTTGACTCAATCTACTTTCCAGAGGCCCAGAAACGTATAGTTCAGCAAAAAGATGATGCGCGATCGGAGCCACTCAACATAAACACCGGCGTTTGGAAGTGTGTGAGAGGTACTTACACAGTTGCCTTCGGCTGTTACATGGCAAGTGCATGCCTCACATTACTCCAACCGATCCTGATTAAGGCTATTATCGGGAACATTGAAGGCAAAGTCAACGCCTTTAATATTTCATCCGGGTATGTGTTAGCGGTTCTACTGGGGTTGGTTGCGTTCTGCGGGGCGACAGCTATTAGTGTAGGCCAATTTCTCACTACTCGAGTGTCATGCAATGCGCGTATGATCGTGATAAACACTGCTTACCGGAAACTTCTCCGACTATCGGCTGCAGCACGGCGAAGGATGGATACAGGAGAAATCATCACGCTAATTGGAGTTGACGGTGACCGAGTGATGGAGGCGTACAAAATGGGATTGTGGTGCATTGTCGCACCTCTTATACTAGCCACCGTGAGCGTTCTAATTGGGATTCAAATGGGATTCATCGTTGGTCTCGTAGTAGCGCTAACACTAGTGCTCATTGTGTTCAGTTCTCTGTCCATGGCAAGAAGAATTGGAGCATATCGCCGACATATTTCAAGTATGAGTGCGAATCGAGTGAAGCTCACTAACGAAATTCTCCACGGGATTCGAGTAATCAAACTCTACGGATGGGAAGACATTGCAAACGAAATGATTCGCGATGTCAGAGTGAAGGAGATTGCGTTGTTACGGAAATTCAACAATCTGCGCCTTACAAGCTCGGCGATGATGTTCCTAGCGCCCACTCTACTCAATCTGGTTTGTTTCTCGACGACAATACTACTCGGCAACACATTAGACGTCACCTCGGCATTCTACGTTATGGCGCTTACGACTGCATGTCAAAACGCGTTCAGTGTGTTTGCCGATGCGACAGTTGCATTAGCTGAAGCCATAACCTCGACGAAGCGCTTAACAGAGTTTCTATATGCGGATGAAGTTGTCGACACTAATAAAGAATCGAACACCCCAAAACAACTGCCACTGGTCTCTATAGAAAATGGAGATTTCCAATGGGAGGAGGACGCTGTCATCCCAACACTTTCCAACATCAACCTCATCCTCGATCCTCAGACACTAACGGTTGTAGTTGGAGCCGTGGGGAGTGGCAAGTCCAGCCTCGTCAACGCTATCCTTGGAGAAATAAAACAAGTTCGCGGCGAACGTGTAGTACATGGTAACGTGGTATATGCGAGTCAGCACGCTTGGATCCAGAATGACACAGTGCGCAACAACGTCCTTTTCGGTGAGGACTACGACGCGATTCACTATCGAAAGGTTATTGAGTCGTGCCAGCTTCTACCAAATTTTGAAATGTTGGACCATGGAGACCAAACAGAAATTGGTGAACGTGGTATCAATCTAAGCGGTGGTCAGAAAGCACGAATTGCTCTAGCTCGAGCGTTTTATCGCTCTCGAAACTTTGACTTCGTGGTGTTGGACGACCCTCTCAGCGCACTCGACATCCACGTGGCGAATAGTGTGTTTCTAGATGGAATCGATGGCATTGGGCTGGGGAAAACACGCTTGTTAGTGTTGAACTCACACTACCACTTGCTGCGCTATGCACATCGAGTGTTGGTCATGGTGGATGGACAAATTGCGGGAGATGGCAAATTGGAAGAATTGGAGCA